CTTAAATAGATATTTCTCCAAAGAAAATATACAGATGGCCAACAAGCACATGAAAAGAAGATCAATATCACCAATCATTAGGAAAATCCAAATCAAAACTACAATGAGATACCACCTCACACCCATTAGGATGGCTTCTGTCAAGAAACCAAAAAACAGCAAATGTTGACAAGGATATGGAAAAACTGGAAACATTGTGTACTGCTGGTGGGAATGTAAAATGATACAGCCACAGTACTGTGTATGAAGACTCCTCAGAAAATTAGAGATAGAATTACCATATGGCCCAGCAATTCCTCTTCTGGGTATACCCAAAAGAACTCAAGGCAGTATCTGGAAGAGGCATTTGTACACCCATGTTCATAGCAGCATTATTCATAGGAGCTAAAACTTGGAAGCAACCCAAATGTCCACCAATGGATGAATGGATAAAGCAAAATGTGGTACATATAAACACTGGAATCATATTTAGTCTCAAAAATGCTGGACATTTTGCAATAAGCTACCACATGGATGAACCTTGAGGACATTACAATAAGTGAACTAAGCCAGTTACGAAAAGACAAATACTGTGTGATTCCACTGAAAAGAGGCACTTAGCATAATCAACATCATAGAAACAGAAAGTAGAATGTTGGTTGCTAGGGGGTCAGAGGAGGGAAGAATGGAGAGTTATTACTCTGTTGGTATAAAGTTTCCATTTTACAAGATAAACAGAGCTATGGGGATGGACAGCAGTGATGGTTGCAGAACAATGCAAATGTATGATCACTTGACCCTGTACTTAAAAATAGTTAAGATGGTAAACTCTATGTGTATTTTAACATAAAATTTGTAGAAAGGCAAACAAAATACCTTATTTGACATTTGGAACTACCTCTTTTTAAGATTCTTTATAATAATCCAGGCTAATTTTTTTTTAAAGCTTCATTCCATTATTTCCTTCCTTTGATGCCCATTTGATACCCATAGTTGGAGAATGAGAGGTATTACCATTTCCTTAAATGTCTGGTAGAATTCTCATGTGAAGCTGTCTGGTCTTGGACTTTTTGTTTGTTGGGAGTTTTTTGATTATTCATTTAATTTCAATACCAGTAATCTATGTCTGTTCAGGTGATCTGTTTCTTCCTGATTCAGTCTTGGAAGATTATATGTTTATAGGATTTAACCTCTTTCTTCTAGGTTGTCCAATTTGTTGATTTATAAGTTCATAGTATCATTATATGATTGTTTGTATTTCTGTGATACTGTTGTAATTTCTGCTTTTTTATTTCTAATTTCATGTATTTGAGTCCTCTTTTTTATTTTTTTTTCCTCTCTGTCTTTTTTCTTAATGAGCCTGGCTATAGGCTTACCCATTATGTTTATTTTCTCAAAAAAAGCATCTCTTGATTTCATTGACCTCTCCTGGAGAGTAGAAATGTGCACTTGATGAGAATGTGTATTCTCATGATTTTCGATGAACTGTTCTGTAGGTATCTAGCAAGTCCAACTTGTCTAATGTGTCATTTAAGGCCAGAATGGTTTCCTTGTTGATTTTTCTGTCTGGATGATCTATCCATTGATCTAAGACGGACATTAAAATTCCCTTACTAATATTGCATCACTGTCAGTTTCTCCCTGAATGTCTATTAATATTTGCTTTATATTCAGGTGCTCTTATAGTAGGTGCCTACATGTTTACAAATGTTAACATTCTCTTCTCTGTGGGCCCCTTTATCATTATATAATGACCTTCTCTGTCTTTTATTATGGACTTAAGTCTCCTTTGTCTGATACGAGTATTGCTACCCCAGCTTTTTCTTTTTTCATTTCCATTTCATAAAACATCTTTTCCATCCCCTCACTTTCACATTGCGTGTTTCTTTAGGTCTATTGAATTCTTCAGTTCAGTCATTGGATTCTTCATCTCCAACATTTGCTTGTTTTTTTAATATTTTCTACCTCCTTATTGAACCTCTTAATTTGTTCTTGTATTATTTTCTCTATATCCTAAATTGCTTGTCTGTTTGCTTTTGTGGCTTTCCTAGTATCTTTAGAGCACTTATTTTGAATTATTTGTCAGACATTTTCTGGGTATCTACTCCTTTGGGGCCATTTTCTGGAGTTTTATTGTGTTCTTTTTGTGGTGTCATATTTCTCTGATTTTCATGATCCCTGTATCCCTGCATAGGTGTCTGCACATTTGAAGAAATGGTCACCTTAAGTTTTGCACCTTTTCAATTCTGGCCATGTATAGAATTTGGGAGAATTGGAAAGTTTGTATTAGATTTAATCAAGTCTGTATTTTGAGTATAGGAAAGCAAACAGAAGCCAATTACTTACTGGTGAGTTGAAGAGCAGGCCTTTTCAAAAGAATTGCTGCTGATTATGGTGGATTCTTGTTACAAATCTATTTTGGCCTGTTATAGAATCCTGTAGATGTATGGATGGATTGTGTCTTTCAGGAGAGAGAGTGAAATTTATAGACCATGTTCTCCAGCTATGAAAATCTGTGAAATTGCTGAAGAGAGCACCCTTGTCAATTAAAAGTGGTGACAACAAAAGATCTCAGTTCTTATTATGTGTGATGAACATGATCAACACCACCCACCTCCAAATCACCAAGTCAAAGCGATGGGGCAGCCTTACATACCTTTTAATTTTTCATGACCTTAAAATTAGATACAACTAAATATTTGAAAGGGCTAAAGTAGTTGAACATTCACATGTTTCCTAATTTTCAAATTCAGTAGTTCTAGTTCAGCGATTGTTAGGATACTAGGGAACAGAGATGAGGACCCTAGTTTGGAATAAGAAGAGTTAAATCACTGCTCAGTATTGCATTGTGAATACTATCGCTTTCCTCTTATTTTGTAATGAGAGGAAAGTATCCTTTCACACTGGATAGGAAGCTAAGGCAGAAAGTAAACAATTTAGAGGAAATAGAGCAATGGCAGCTTATTTTTCTAACAGCCTCTGTTTTTCCATATGTAATGTTGCTTTTTACTTAACTAATCTTGATTTATCCCCAGCAACATTTTAATGCCAGGTAATTATAAACCTTCCTAGGGATCATATTATAATTTCCAGACTGTGTCTTTTATTTCTATAATGGTAGTTGGAATTATGTGTTATAATTTACTTAAGGCTTTTTTTTTCTTTTAGGTGCTAGAGGTGGTCCATTTGCTTGTTTTGATGAAATAAATACAAGAGCAGATAAATTTGGAAACTGTGGCCGAGGATTTTGTGATTTCCGGTGTGTACTTATAAAATCATAATTTCATTTGGAGTATAGGTTACATATTGCTGAGATTCTAGAATATATTATTATGCACAAGCTAAGGTGGCATTTTATAACAGGTGCTTTTTGTTTCATGATCTGAGCTAAATAGTATTACCTGTTGCCTACAAATAACATGTATTCATTACCTATAATGTTACAACAATGAAAACTTGCCTCTGTTTACTGCAGGGATGTGCTAGGCATTGTGTTAGGTCATTTACATACATTATATGTTTATTCTATATATTATAAATATATTTATATACATCAAGTGTTTGTAGTTAGAATTATTTAAATCTCATTTTACTAATGGAAAAAAATTGAAGTCCAGTGATCATTTGCTCAAATTTCAGAAGCTAATATAGAACAGATCAGGGCCGCCAGATGCAAAAGTGATTTTTACCTTGCCACGTTTCCTCACAAAACAAAGAGAGCCAAGTCATACATGAATCAGTGTGCTCAAAAAGGTTACTGGGAAAAATATGTAAAACTCGGATCAAAATGAGTAAAATACTTTTAAAACTCAGCTATAGCAGGCATCTATGTTATTTCAGTAAATAGTAATACAATCTTTTTCTTCCTTATGCTTCTAGTCATGCCCTATGTGGAAAATTAGTGTGTGCCTGGCCACACAAAGCTATAGTAACGCGTCCAAATTTATCTGTGATTTACACACATGTGCGAGGGGATATATGCACATCTACATTTCTACACACGGATAAGCCAGTTAAAGGAACAATGACCACAATTGACAGACCTGAAGAAAGAGATGAGACATTTGTGGAAGATGGCAGTATGTGTGGACCTTACATGGTAATCAGAACTAAAAAATTTTGATGTTTAAACATTATTTTTTGTGGTTATAATCATGTTGACAGTACACCAACCAGTGCATTTTAACAGCCTTATTGAGGTATTACTTACCATAAAATTCACCCATGGTAAGTGTACAATTCATTGCTTTTGATTAATGTATAGAGTTGCCCAGTCATCACCATATTCAATTTTGGACCCCGCCCTGATTTCCCCCCTCCCCGTATTGACTACCCCACCCATAAGCAACAAACCAGCTTCCCCTATTATTATATCTAACAATGGTGTGGTTTATGTGTTATAATCAATGAACCAGTGTTGATACATTACTCTTAACTAAATCCCATGCCTCATTCAGATTTCCCTAGCCTTTACCTAGTGTCCTTTTGCAAGGTTCCACTCAGAATACCACGTGATTTATTAATGTGTATCTTTAGCCTCCTCTTGACAGTTTCTCAGAATTTTCTTGGTTTTGATGGCCTTGACAGTTTCCAGGAGATATTCTGTAGAATGTCCCTCAATTTGGATTTGTCTAATGTGTTTCTTATGATTAGCCTGGATTTATGTGTTCTTGGGAGGAAAACTACAGAGATCAAGTGCTCTTTCATCATGTCATATCAAGTATAGGTACTTGTTGATGTTAAATTAAGCTTGATTAACTGGCTGAGGTCATGTTTGTCAGATTTCTCACTGTAAAATTACTCTTTTCCTCCTCTTTCCATATTGTACTTTAATTGAAAGAAGTCACCACGTATACACTAGATTTAAAGAGCAGGAAGTTATGTTCCATCTTATTGAAGGCTTGGGAACTACCCTTTATTCGGGTATAGTTGATTTATGATGTGATATAAGTTCCCAGTCTACAGTAGAATGAGTCAATATTTTTATAGCTTATACTCCACTTAAAGTTACTATGAGTCTAGAATGAGGGGACCAAAATTGCCAACTGGTATATTTACCTATTTTTCCCTGGTTACTATATTAGTTTTTTATCACTGTGTAAAACATTACCAAAATCTTGGCAACTTAAAACAACACCCATGTCACAGTTCCTGTTAAGTCAGAAGTCCAACAAAGCACAAGCAGGTTCTCTGTTTGGGGTCTCACTAGGCGGAAATAAAGTTCCTGGCTGGGGTCACAGTCTCATTTGAGGCTGGAGTCCTCTTCCTGTCTCATGAGAACCCCTGTTCTCAAGAGGGGTTGCTCTTGGCCCCTAGGAGCTCCCCCTCAGGTCCTGGTCACATGGCCCTCTCACAACATGGCAGCTTATTTCTTCCAAGCCAGCAAGAGAATCTTCTGACCTCTCCCATCTTTTAAGGGCTCACATGATTAGGGGAGGCCCCACTGAGAATGATCTCCCTTTTGATTAATTCAAAGTTGACTGATTATGGACCTTAACTACCTCTTTAAAATCCTTTTATATCTATGAAATAATCTAATCATAGGAATGATATTCCATCATATATTCACTGCTTCTCCCCCAACTCAAAGAGAGGGGATTATCCAAGAAATGTACACCAGAAGAGTATGGGGACCATCTTAGAATTCTACCTAGCCATTACCTTCCCCCAAACAAACCTTGCTGAGTCTGATTGCCCGTCTATAAAATATAAAAAGTAGGGAATAATATCTACCTCAATGGATTGTTACAAGAATTAACATATACAGTTACTTATATTATACATAAAACTAAAAAAACAGTATTAACAATTAATTATATAGCATACTATAATTATAGAAAGTTTTTAGAAACTTATAATATTCTATAAATTAATGATGTATCTAACAACAATTTAATATTCTAATTAATCCTAGAAACCATTCATTCTAAGAGTTGCTCTGCAAAATTAAATTAACAGATTTTTTCTTGAGAGACAGTCTCAAGGTTTAATTGCTAAATTTAAATTTATTTCTATATAATACTTTTTGATAATAGCACATGAAAATAATTATAGGTCTGTCACATCTTGCTCATTTGGAAACATAGGTAAAAATATGACCCAAGGACTCCCTCCCCCTTGAAATCTAAGTGATATTGGCTCAAACCTGTATCTTAGAATTCTGACCCTCCTCTTTCTGCATATTGTTGGTTATTGTGCTCCAAAGACAAACCTCACCCAGGAACAAAATCCTTTCACAAAGTATTGAATTTACTGAATATTTTGGATAATTAAGAAAAGTCACACAATTTAATGCCATAAATTGGGAAAATGTTAATTTACACGTTAAACATTCCTTTTTCTTAGAAGGCCTTTTAGCTATCTCACCCTTGGGAGTCTCTAAGTGTCCTGTTACCTCATATAATGATCTCTTACCCTGGCTTTCCTCCTTCTCATTGTTTTCCCACATGGAATAGTAAATTACCTTCCTTTGCTCCTCATACCAGTGAATTTAAGACCTTGACCTCTCACTAGATAGTTCTCAACCCTGACTGCCCATGATGACAGCTGGACCTGCCCCACGAGATTTTCACAGAAGGCTCTCGTGTGGAGCCCAGTCACGAGTATTTTTTAAAATGCTCCTCAGATAATTATTGAACTCAAGAGACTAATCAAATTATTTTTCCAGATATTTCTCTTTCTAAGAAGACTACTGATGCTAGATGGTAAGAAAATAAAACTTCCACGTTCTTCCATTTGACTTTATCTTTACCATCTGAAGGCACACAGCTTATTTAACATTTATTTCAATATAGTCACAATTATTACTTTATTTTACTTTTTGGGTTTTTGTGCAAATTCTTGGTAATGTGAATTCTGGCATTTTCTTGAATTTTTCTTATTATGTATGCACACAAGCTGATGGTTTGACTGACTTTGTTTTTCACTTCTGCTTTATTTTAGTTTTGTCTGAAGTTTAACTGTGTAGAGGCCAAATACCAAATGAATCTTAGGGCTTGCAATTCTGATTTGCATTGTCATAAAAATGGAGTAAGTAATTTCAATTTTCATTTTAAGCAACATGCTTTGAACTATTCAATAAATAGTTTGGCAATTTAAATAAATCATTTGAATGATTTTTAAAAAAAAAAATTCATGCTGCTTGGTGTCATTTAACAGTCTATATAACCTAGAGCCTCAATCTTATTTTCTTAAGAAATCCTGCCAAATTCTAAAGTATGGAAATTTCAAGAGAAAATTTGTGAAAATTTGTTGAATTTGTCTATTTAAGATAAATTCTCTAGAATGGGTAAATTCTTTGGAATAAATTCTGTTGAATAAGTATAGAATTGGTCTCTATTGAAAGCCATCTTTGTACATAAAAAATTGTTTATTTTCTGCTTATTCTAGACCTGCAACAATTTTAACCACTGCCAGTGTAAGGAGGGATTTATGCCTCCTAATTGTTTACCAAAGGAAGGAGAATTTGGAAGTATCGATGATGGACATGTGATCAAATCTGGTTAGTGTCTTTAAAACTTTATTAATCAAAGATAATATGTGAGAGAATAAGTTTAGGTTCCAAGACAATACATAAGAGAATAAACTTAATCAAAGATAGTATATGAGAGAGGAAGTTTAGGTTCCAAGCTAGACTGCAAAGCAATTGATATCAACAAATACGGTTTTACTTTACTTGTAAGATTTTAAAAGACTTTAAGATAGTTCAAGTTTGTATTGTTCTTTCTATATCAACATCGACATTATTAACAAAAAGTGTACCTAATGTTAGGCAATTTTAAAAGTAGAAATTCCATTGCATTAAAAAGAAAACTAACAACAACAAAAAACAGTGTAAGGGACGGAAGCAGGATCCGTTTTCTGGTCCCTGAAAATATTACTTAGACTTTCGAGGCCACCTGGGCATATATTACTTTCATTTTCAGATATCCACGTGGTATCTATCACTGATCACCCAGAAGACAATACAGGGTGCAGAGAACCCACCTGCAGTGCGTGGCCAGAGAGGCTGATCGCTTTGCCTGATGCACTCGCTGTCTGATTACAAATAATCCTTATCTTGAAGATACGTAGGGAACCCCAAGCATGTGCACAAAGCTGACTGAAAAAGAAAATGCTGCTCCTACCTGGAATTCACTTGAAAAACAAAACAAAACAAAACAAAACAAAAGACCTATGGGAAGAAAGGGAGGATCGCTGGGGCGGTTGTAAGGAGTATTTTGAGCCTGGCGATCACCACACTGCGGCCGAAGGAAGAGTGGCTCTTCCGACCGTCGGCTCCTCCTGCGGCAAAGGCCTGGTAGAAAAATAGCTCATGTCAGGTGAAAGGAAGCATGGCGGCAAGTTGTGGAGGAAGCAGGCCTTGGTCCGTTGTAAATCCAGAAAGGTGGACCTGAGGAGCCACATAGATCAGATGCTCAGGAATGAATACAGATGTTGGCTGGGAATCGAAAAGAACTGGGTAGTCAGAAGTGGGTCAAAGCCAGGCTTAGCCGTGACTAGAGCCATTTTAACAATTTACTCTTGCTCCATATTTGATTAAAGGACTTAATAAGTTATTTAGAGAGTACTAATTTTTGATTTTTAGGAAAAAAAATCGTAGTATTGTAAGAGAAATAAATGTCATATACCCCAGACTTAATTTTCACACATAGGTACAACCCCAGTACTCTTTGTAATATCTACACTGGAGCTTTGAAGACCCTGTGTCAGAATGGAGCTAAAGAAATATTTGAAAGCATTAAACGCATTGTCCATGAAAGAACATTACCTTCCATCAAGGAAATCACCATATGGTGAAAGTTTGAAAACTCAAAAACATCAGTAAAGCGCTAGTAACAGCCCATTTTATACATGAGTTCAGTTTTTCAGATTTTACATTTTCATAGTCTCTGTGAATGAAATGTTCAGCGTCCAGGAGTATTGTGGGTAACGATATCCCCTCCACCTTTTCATATGGTTAATAAAACCTCTGACATAATTTGAAGCGCATGTTTTCCGTTCTAGGTAAAGGTTATTTGGAGGAAAGATCTCTCACTGGTACAAAACACAGATTTCAACTCATCTTGTACCTTTCCCTACCTGTACTGCTCATTACCACCGCTGTCATCATAAAGCGGAATAAAATAAGACAGCTCTGTGACAGAGGGGAAACGGAAAGTGAGATGTATGTATTTTTTTGTTCTTATTACGTTAAATCAGTCACAGAAAAACGCTTTACATCTCATCAGGAATAATCTAAGACTATAGGGATAATCTGTAGACTATAATCAGCGGTACGAGACGAGGCCCTGGGATACAGTTCAGACTGGTTTGTGTCCTTCGTGTTTTCTCTGGTTTTGCACATCCTGCAAACCATTCATTTTACCACCAGTATCACTTTAGGAGGAGACATGGGTCCAAGGGTATCGTGGCGGGTTATTCAGCCTCCTGGCCCACTGACCCTGTCTAAATAGTCGTATTGTCCGTGAACTTCATGAGAATAATCAACACTGCATTTAAAAATAAATTAAGATCCAGATCCTCAGACCAGTGGTCAGCAACTTTTATCAGAACATCCTGCTCAACCAGAGGTGATGTCTGTGAACCTGCCTGCTTAATATTTATTTCCCTAACTACTGATGTTGTTCATTTCTCATTTCTCAGTTAGAAATTGCGTGTGTAGTTAATGATCAGGTTACGAGACAGGAGGAAGCATCAGAAATGGGGAGAAGATTACTTTTCGCCTCAGAAAACCAGGTTTTCACTCCTAAATGGTGCCTGTCTTGATAACTTATGGTGTCTTGAGCAAGTGACTTAATCTTTATATTCTTAAGATTATTTTCCATAACTCTGTAAAACGTGAGATCATAGTGATAGCTTTCCAGTGTAGCATAAGCACTGGAACAAACCAGATTAGTAAGTGAAATGATCACATCCTCTGTAACTGGTTACGCAAATATTTGTACATCATTATTAAGCCCCTTATTCCTTATTCATAAACTACTATATTTTTCTACAGAGGTGTTTACCTCTAGTTTTACCTTCCAACGGTTGATGTGAAGAGAAGATGTGAGTCTGTGTTACAAGAAGATGAAAAAAATTCCCTGAAGCTTTTGAGAGTGCTACTTTCTGGTTTTAGCCCAAGTTGACCTGAGGAGTTAGGGGTATCATAGAATCAGGGGGCCTGTCTACACAGATGTGGGTTTATCCCATAAATACTTGAACAAACATAAAAGGAGGATGAGAGGGGTGAGTCGACAAAGCAAGGTGGCTGACTGCATTTGTTCTAATAATGAGACAGTACCTGTTCTATTTATTATATTTTGCTGGAAGGAGACATTTTATTTAGTGAATCACTCTGTTTCTTGGAAGAACATTCTTTGTTCAAACAGTCACTTAATGGTTCAAGACTTTTCCATTTCCCCACTTAACATTTTATCGATGTTACAGATCTGTGTCAGAAGGAAGCAGCAGTGACAGCAAGTTGTCCCCCAGCGTAAGGTGAGTGCAGAACAAGTGATTAACCATTCAGTATTGGACACTTTGATCATTGTTTAAGGAGCACTTAAGAATTGTTAATTTTTATTATTGTTAATTATTATTATTCCCAATTTTATTGTGAACGAAATCCCAAGTGCGGGATTTTTGTGCACCCACACTAGCATTTATGAGCACATAAATCGTGGGATTCTTTTTTTTATCTGAGGATTGGTGAGGAGTACTTATATCTTGACTTCATTTCACTGCCACATAAAAAGAGGGCTGATAGCATAAAGATGCCAGAGGTGCTCTGAGTTACACTGTTATCTCAGAAAAAAATTACTGTTAGTAAGTTAGAGCCTTGGAGTTTTCATTCATTTTACCGTCTTAATTCACCCAGGAAAGTAAATTTAGAGATCAGACTGTGGAATAATCAAATCTAACATTTTATAAATATAAAATTAGATATTTCCCCTTTATTTTCAGTATATAAAAATTTTCCTGCGAGATGATGGATGAAATATAAAAGGAGAGAGTATTTCAGATAGCATCCAGGATTCTTTTTCAGTTTTCTCTTGGTCCTGACAGTATAACGTTGCACACTGACTATGATATTCATGTAACCGATGTTGAGATACATGTCTGAACCGAGGGAATTCCTGATTTTAGGCAAAGCACTATGAAGTATGGACGGTCACCATCCTAATCCTATTGTCAAGGCAGACTCTTTCAGGTACTCCCAAGAGTACACATCTCTGCTCTCTAGGCAAGACTATACTCAAGTCCTTTTAATTGCAGTGGGCAGAGACCAATAGAAAGTGGCTGTTTTCATTATAATCTCTATCAGAAAGGTAGAAAAGGAAGAACTAATTGCCCTCACAGACAGTGGATGGAAAGAAAGAATTAAGGAAAGAGCAGAAATAAATGAAAAGGAAAATAAACAACAACAACAAAAAAAACAGAAAAAAAGCAAAGACAAAGGCTGATTCTTTGAGAAGATTTATATGGTTGGTAAAAATTAGTTCAAAATAAAAAGAGAGCCAGTATCAGGTAATAAAGCTGCATATTTGGGATCTGTTAGACATCAGAAGAAAAGAGGATCCCAATGAGAACTAAAACTCAGGCAGTTTAAAGTTTTAGATGAGATACATATGATCTTCCAAAAACACATTTTTTCTATCTTTCTCAAACTTGAATATAGATAAATTGAAAGTATAAACAAAACTACATCCATCAAAGATCTGGAAACTACGATTTAAAACTTTCTCACAAAGTTGACGCTTGGGCATCATCTTTTCACGGCAGGCATCAGGAACACCAGGACCAAACCAAGTAATCCGCTCGCTCCATCGTGCTGCCCTACGTTGCACTGGACAGACAAGTCACAGTTACCAAACTCATAAAGCTCATAAAAGGGTGTTTATGCCGCCCACCCACTCTGATAGGAGGTACCAGTCCGTCTGTAACGAGTGGGAACTTCCATAAGTTATTTGTTTTAGTCAATGGGACGTTTTTGAGTAATATGCCTTCTGAGTCATAGCGTATCTTATATTCGACTTCCTCTCAATATCCTATTTTTTAAAAAATTTTCCACTCTGTTATCTAGTAATTGATAATAAGTGTGGCACAGAAGTAAAAATAGGTAATA